ATATAGATAAACTTGATTGGATTCTTTTTGGAAAAGACCAAAATATGCACTATGTCATTGAGTTAAGACAGAAAGTTATGACTTGGCTGTTAATGCTCTCCCAAAATTCATAATTAAAGTCTTAACCTCCAATGAGAGAGGAACCTTGGAGAAACTTCAGACCATAAAGCAGAGCCCATTAATTAGAAGAGCCTCCCAGTAACTTGCTTATTCTCTCCATCAAATGAGTTTATGGTGAGAAGATTCTCCACTAGGAGAGCTTACGAGAGAAGACAGCCATCTAAGCAGGTGCTCACTCAGAGCTAAATTGCTACCAGATCTGTGGGAATAAATGTTTAAGCCACCCAGTTTGTGGCACTTTATAAGTGGCATTATGAGCAGACAAAGCACTGGCCTACTGCAAATAGTTCTGGGAAGACTACAGGGGTCACCCTCCAATGTGACATCCCAGGGAAGCTGCAAAAGAGATGAATTCAAGACAAACACAACACAACTTCACTGTCTGGCCCATTTTCCCCAGCTGAAAAACGTGGGCTTGAACTGGGCTGTTAAGATTCACCTTCCCTTCATTGTTGGTTGGGATTTTATGAACTTGATTGCTACTCAGCTTGCAAAGATGACATGTATTGAACTTACTGTTTCCTGTTTCTGGAGACTTCTTATTTGTCTACAAAGTTTATGATCTGACTTTAAGAATGAATTTTCCTAAACTTGGGGCTGACTAGAAGAGGTCCTTAAGGCTTTGGAACTCAAGGAAGTGAGTAGGAAACAGGCTAAGTGCTTGAGGGAAAACCTTGTTGCACAGGGCTAGTTTCTGGTGGTTGAAGAGCTCACACACTAGAGTTAGTTTGGTGATGTTGATCATCTCTCATGGTGTCAGAAACACAGCTTTAGACCTCAGCTGCCTGTACAGATACACGGGCAGGAGTAATTAAGCAGTAAAAGTGTGTGTGTGTGTGTGTGTGTGTGTGTGTGTGTGTGTGTGTGTGATCATCCACATATGCATTTAACAAGCTGGCAGGGAGGAGCAATGGACACCAAGGAAGGGTCTGGCTGTCTGGGTGGGTACAGGAAGGAGCGGGTGTTTCGTTGAATTTCACAGTCCCATTGGCAAGTGTAACCGAGCCATTAGGCTGACCTCATCTATTCTGATGTTATTTTTCTCAACAAGCAATAACCTCAGCTTTCCTTGGCTGGTGGTTTCTGAAGCTGGGGATGCATTCCCTCACTCGGAGTGAAGGTGTCCAACTGGAAGCTCGGAGAAAAGACGTTAGCCCTAGCCTGTAAAGGCATTTTGTCATCAGGGAGGGGCCAAGATTTGGAAGAGTCGCATGGATAAAAAAGTCCCTTTGGACAGCAACATGAGCCAGAGGAGCCATGAGTCAGGCAAACAGGCATCCTTATAACCAGCAGTTATTGAGCATCTGCTGTGTACCAGCCCCGTGCTGGATGTTTCACATACTGAAGATGAACAGCCATTTTGTTTATTTTCAAAGAATTCTTGTATCATCCAGAGAGTTGAATACATAAACTATGAGATCTTGTCACATGACATTGCAAAGATTCAGCCACCCTGGCTTGTAAAAACAACTGTTTCTTATGGCTCAACCAGGCAGTATCATGTCTTAAGTTTAACATGCTACTTAAATGTTATATAATTGTAGGGCAGGCTTTACGGAGGAGGTAACTTTTAACTCTGGCCTAAAAAGGAGAGTTTTTTTTTCAAAAGATATATTTTAAAAGTTGAGATGGAAATGACTGAAATTGTGTTTGTTTATTAATATTGGCCACGCATGTATGACATTCAGGGGACTGTAATACGCTTGAGATGCAGCATTCAGCTTGCAGAGTTGAGGACCTCTGTCCTGGCAGTTCCATGCTAAGAAGAGAAGTAAAACCTTAAAGATAAATACCCAGTTATTAGTCACCAATTAAAATTCTGAGGGATTCTCCAAGGACTAATATCTCGAGCACGTTACTGGAGGCTGGACTTGGTCTGTGAGGTCAAGGCAAGCTCCACTTGAATCTTCTAGGACAAAAGAGAACTCACCAGTTGCAGAGAGCATTCAGAACAGATAAACAGGCATGTCCAAAGAACCTGCAGCAGGCCTCAGGAGCAACATTTTGCCTGTCTCCAAGTTTGAGTTCAAAGAATGTGTTCTCTCTGATAAGATCCCATTTCTAGGATGTCTAACATCACTCTCCTATGAAGAGTTGGCTTCTAAGGCTCTAAATCTCTAGGTGATGGTTGGAGATATATAAATAAAATTTTTCTCTTGATTTTTTTCTGTTGCTGTGATAAAATAATACCAACACTTACAAGCCATCATGAAAAAGAAGTCCAGGCATCAAGAGCTTGAATCAGCTGGTCACATGGTATCCACACTCAGAGGACAGCCGTCAATGCAAGCTTGGCTTATTTTCTCCCATTTGACACAGTTCAGAAATAGTCCTGCCCACAGACAAGATGGGTGTTCCCACATCAAGTTAACCTCATGAAGATGATTTCCAACTGGCTTTTAAAAATAAAATTAAAAGAGAAAAAGAAAAGAATAAATAAACTGGATGGATATTTGAGAACACTAATTTTTTTCTCTTATTAAAAAAGTATTTATTTTTATTTGTATGTGTGTTGGTGTTTTGCCTGTATATATGTCTATGCACCATTGTGTGCCCGGTGCTCATGAGACCAGAAGAGGTTATAGAATCCCCGTAACTGGAGCTATGGTTGTGAGCCACCATGTGGGTATCAGGGGTTGAACCTAGGCCTTCTGAGAGAGCAGCCAGTACTCCTACCTACTGAACCATCTTTTCAACCCAATTTTCTTCTTGAGTTTGGGATTTTATTCCATTTTAATTTATATAACCTTAAGTCTAAAGTGGTTTGTTGGTTCTAAAGTATTTTATTTATCATTCTTCCATATATCTCTTCAGTAAAATACTTCATTTGAAATTTGCTTCAGAAGTTTTATGATGCTATGGGACTCATTTTCCAAAACTTTAAGTCATTGTTTTTTTTTTATTTTTACCAGTACATATTGAACACAGTAGCCTAAATCTACTAAAGTGAACTGCTAATGGGAATGAACTATTCAATGTGTTCATACTCTGTGACTACATTACACAGCTGATTATACATGATGAGGATTATTTGTTGGGATAACAAAGCAGGGTCTGTCAGCTTTCCATTCTATTTCACTGTTGTAAGTTTTAAGATGGCTTGTTCATATAAGTAAGTAGATAGGAATGCAGGGAGTCTGGAATCTAAGTACTACTTTGGTCTTCGGGCTCTGTTGGGGTGGTTTGCCAAAAAGAACAGTGATGTGTAACCAAAAGACTCCGCTGTAGCTTTGAGGATGATGTATGTACTGGAAGGTGGTTGATGTTCGGGAATAATTTGCTTCTCTGTCATAAAGGTTTTTCATCAGTTTTGAAGGAATGTGTTTTTAAGACTAGTTGGGTGATAATTATTCATGTTCATCCTTCAGGCCTCTTGATACCCAGCTATATCCTAGAAATGAGTGTGAAACACACTTTTGCAAATATAGTATTTTGGGGGCTGTTATTATATGCATATACCAAGTTTTCACTTGAAGATTTTGCAAACCACAGGCAGGGATCACCATATAATCAAACAGGAGAGGCTCTTCAGGTCAACCACTCCTACCAGACAATTCCTGTGAGAAAAACAAAAGCAAAATCACTTCTTGCTACACGGGACACTTACTCAGTTGTGTTTACTGCTACTTTACACTCAGTTACCAGGAGATGGAAACAGCCTCAACCCCATTCAGCTGCTGAATGGATAGTGAAATTGTGACTCCTGCACACAATGGGGTACGCTTCAGCTACTAGGAAAAGTTGCCTCACTTCGGCATCTAGGTTGTAGGTGAGGGTTAAATAGCAGCTGCTGAACTTGATGCCCAGGCTCAATTTATTCACATTTACCATCAGTATTTTCTGATAACATGTCTCCTATGTCTTTGCCAGGGGATCTCTTTAAGAGCCATGTTCTGGAACTATTTCTGTGTGGGATGTTTGAGGGTTTCCTGTTTGGAAGAGGCAACTCAACAGGACTCAGAATAGGTTAGAGGCAAACACCTTTTCTTTTCTTTTTCCTTTTTTTTTTTTTTTTGGTTTTTCTATGGCTTTGGAGACTGTCCTAGAACTAGCTCTTGTAGTCTGGTCTCAAACTCACAGAGATCCACCTGCCTCTGCCTCCCGAGTGCTGGGAATAAAGGTGTGCGCTACCCTTGTTTTGTTTTTTAAGGCAGAAGGAATTGGGAAGGGAAGAGCTAGGGAATATGAATTACAGAAATGAGTACATGCTTAGAAATAATGTGTATTCAAATTACGATTTGAGAAATTAACTCTCTTAAAACTGTCTATATGTGAAATTCCTTGGGGAAAATGTTTACATACTTTTGTTTTTAAAAATACTGATTTGAAGCCAGGCAGTGGTGGTGCATGTCTTTAAACCCAGCACTGAGGAGGCAGAGGTAGGAAGATCTGACTGAGTTTGAGGCTATTCTGGTATATAGGGTGAGTTTCAGGACAGCCAGGGCTACATAGAGAAACCCTATCTTGAAAAACTAAAAAAGGGGGAAAAAAGAGGAAGAAAAGGAGAGAAAAACACTGACTTGAAATTACTTTTGCTTATACGCTTAGTCAGTGAGCCCAGGATGATTTGTTTTGTGCATGGATTGTGGGATTGCTTCATCTTTGCAGTTTGTGGATCTCATTTCTCTTTTCAGAAAAGCTCATCCATTTAGCCCAAAGCACAGCTTGTGGGAAAATGTCAGAGCCTATGGCTGTATCCCATTTCCCACACAGCTTCCTTCACCTGAGCTGAAACAGGGGAACTTGACCTCAGGGCCAGTCCTTTGGGGGAAGTCAGTAAGGTAATGGAGCTTCAGGCTGTCTCCTTGACAACAAAATAAATGTATCTGTGGTTTGCTACAGCTGAAAGAATTTCAACCTTCCCACCACTTGTTTTATAGATGTGGAAACTGAAGCCAGAAAGATGGGTGATTGACATTCCTGAATTTCACAGCTTGTAAGTGGCAGCGAGTCAACGCTCACAATTCCCAAAGCAAGGCTACACCTGTGTGCATGAAGTTTTTTTTTTGTTCTTTTTGGTTTTTGTTTGTTTGTTTGTTTTGTTTTGTATCTCGAGAATGTATGACTGGCTGGCTGGCCAGGTTTTTCACCCTTCACCCAGCTGCCCTGGTGTCTTTCAAATGCAGCCACAGTCTCTGCAGTATCTGGAAAAACCAGATGGCCCGATACCACTCAAGTGTTTGCAGGGAACCGTAGTTAGCAGTGACTGGAAGTTTTATTTTACCACGACTTTCCCAAGAATAAATTTTTTCATGGCCTTGATCACCCCTTATGCAGTCTCAGACTTCCTGAGACTTCTGGATGTGGGAGAACAGGACTTCTAATTGTTCCAAAGTGCAGGTGCTTCAAAATCAAACCCTTGAGGAAAGTCAACTGCATCCCTGGGGCCTTTCCCATCAAATTCAGACTAGACTGTTCGTTCCCCATTTCATACCTGCTGGAAGTTCCAGGGGCAGAGAGCCAGCCAGCCGTGACCAAGCCCCAATTACAGACCTGAATTTGTTTCAGTCGGCTTGAATGTGAAAACCTTCCCTGATTCTAGGGGAGACCAATAGAAATTCCTGCCACTTCAGTCCACTCAGGACTGTGACTAAATGACTTAAACTGTATATATCCAGCTTAAAATATAAACAGTTGCTCATGGCTATTGAAGCAGTAACAAATTCAATGTCTGGTGAGGGCCGTGCTGTCCCATCCTCCCAAAAGGGCAAGGGAGTTCCCTCTAGCCAGACACAAAGTTATTAATCTTGGGCATGCAAGACCTCCCCTCATCATTTAATCCCTTTATAAAAGGCTCCTGCCTCTTTTTCAACATTTGGGTTTTTTTAAGATAGGGTCTCACTTTGTAACTTTGGCTAACCTGGAGTTCCCTGTGTAAACCAGGCTAGCCTCAAATTCATAAAGATCCATCTGCCTCTACCTCCCGAGTGCTGGGATTAAAGGTGTGAAACATCACCAGCGACCCTAGGTTTCACCGCTTAATATGATCTCTCTGGTGCTTAAATGCCAACATGAGTTTTGGAAAAGACACAAACCTCGAAGCACAACCCCTGTGCTGAGTAGGACTTCAGAGATGGGGGGGACCACAGTTCGTTTAGAGTTCCTCTGTTAGACACAGTCTTGATCTGGGTCTGCAGAACTCAGCCTAATAGTACATCTGGAACTGAGCCTGTGTGAAGTTTGCAGATGGATCAACATACAGAGCTGGATGAAGGCCGAGCCATAAAAATTGGCAAATTTAGAAGAGCAGAGATCATGACCGCTTATATTTTAATGCACTTGATTTTCTCAGCAGGCCAACTGCTAAGATGACCTTGAAAGGAAAGACTTAATTACTCTATGTGTGGAAAATATCATGAAGATAGATCAATTATTTTTGAAAACAAAAAGGCTAAATATCAGCAGTGTAATCAGAAAGACCCACAACACCCAGATGAGCGACCTCATTTCCTGAATGCATCGGGTGATTATGTGTCTTCATCTTGAAATGCCTCTAAATAAATGCCTTTGGGAAGCAGACTCACAACTTTGCAGAAAAATAATAGTCTAAATGAAGATGAAACAATCAGCTGGGTTCTAAAATGATTAGTATGAGGAAGAATTTTAGAAGCCATCGGTGAAATACAGACAGTGGACTTATCACTTGGAATCCAGAAAGAGACGGAAGGTAAAATGGACATGACACATTTCCCCAATCAATACTTTGCTCTCATGGAAGCAGCAAATATGCTTTTACTACCCTTTTTTTTGGGGGGGGTGTTTTGAGACAGGGTTTCTCTGTGTCTTTGGAGGCTGTCCTGGAACTAGCTCTTGTATACCAGGCCGCTCTCAAACTCACAGAGATCTGCCTGCCTCTGCCTCCCGAGTTCTGTGATTATTTACTACCCTTTAAAGCGAGATTTATTTTTATTTTACCTGGTGGCTGTTTGCCTGCATGTATATACCTTGTGTATATAGTGCCCAAAGAGTCCAGAAGAGGGTGTCTGATCGTCTGGAACTGGAGTTACAGATAGTTATGAGCCAACTTATGGGTGCTGAGTCCCGAACCTGAGTCCTCTGCAAGAACAGCATGTGCTGAGCCACATATCCTAGCCCCTGGTTTAATCGTATTATATAAAAGGTTCAGGAAGACTGACTTATTTATGATTAGAACTGCCATGAAAACCTGGGCCTGGTGGCACATGCTTGTCTGTAATCTCTTCACTTCGATATGGCATGGCTGGGTCCCTTTTGATGGTTTTGGTTGCCAGGGAAGTCTCTGTTATGATTGGGTAGAGCGAGATTTCTCCTTTAGTGGATATTTATTTTGGATTTCCAATCTTTGAAGCCTGTTTTACATCAAAATTAATAGGATCTGACTGGGTGAACAATGGTGGTTGGTAAAGCATAGAGACCACAGGCTGGTAAATCCCTCTGAGAGGACCTTTTTGTTGAGAGAGACAGAGTTAGACCCTTGATGTACGTACCTGACTTTCCACAATAACTTATTAATCCTATGATTTGTCTTCCCTGAAGAAAGTCATTGACTAAACTTGTTGATTCTAAATAGGATTCAAATATTTTGTACATGAAACTTTCTTTCAGACTTCTATTAAGCTATGTAGAACTTCCCCAACCCCCACCCCACATACACACACTCATTGTACTTGGCTGGCTCCACAACTTCAGACTCATTCCATTCTAATTTATATTCAACTCCTATTTTTTAATCTCCATTGTTCCTTTCCACTATTTCTTCGTTTCTTTTTCTTCCCCCATCTGCATTACTGCTCCAGTCAACTGAAGGATGTGCTTGGAGGTGGAGTGAAGAGGGGAGGCTAAGCATGTCTTCTTTTAGTTACACTCACCGTGCTGTGTGCACTGATTCCCCACAGCATCCTGATCCTTCTTCTGGTGTGGGTGTGTAAAGGAAACCTGGGATAACGTAGCCTTTGAAAAACAATGGATGAATGGTGCACACTTAGAATTTTCCGTCTCCCTTTTTGTCTTCTAGATGTCAGCAGAGGCCTCCCCATCTCTCTTGAGATAAGGTGAAATGAGCCGAGACATCTCATGTCCGTTGACAATGGCTTTCCCAAACACCTCCCAATATTTGTCGGAATTTCCAGAAAAAAGGACAGAGTGATGCTTGCATTCTTAAGGCCTCTTCCTCCTGGCCTTTCCTCCAGCATGTTACTGTGGCTCCTGTCATATACACACACAACTCTGTCTTCTCTGCGAATTAAGTCAACCAAGACAGAAGCAGCAGCCACGACAACAAAGCTGGACCAGTTCCATTTATTAAAAACAGTGATGGACAGAGAAGCTGTTCATTTACTACATCACCCCAAAATTCATATGCTGAAAACTTGGTCCTCAAAGTCCTGTATATTTGATGTGGGGCCTTTGGAGGTAATTGGGGTTAGATGTATTTTTGGTGAGGGCGGGGCCTCCATGTGAGCATCGGTGGCTTTATAAGAGAAGGAAAAGATCCAAGCTAACATGCTTTCTCTGTCTTGCTATGCTTTATAAGAAATGTCATGATGCAGGAGGCAGCCCTCTTCAGGCATGGACAGATGCCAGTGCCATGATCTTGGTCTTCCCAGCCTTCTGAGTAGGTCTAAGTAGATTTCTATGCTTTATAAACTCCCTGCCCTCACGTATTTTGCTGTGCCAACAGAAATGCTTTGGAAGTTCTGGGGAAGAGGGAGAATTGGTACTAACATAGGTGTGGAATGTATAGAGCAAACACCTTCAAAAGGAAAAGTTGGTCTCACTGTTCATAAAAATGGACTTTGACAACACCATCCCTAGGAAATCTTACCAGCCCTCGCCTCATTTCAAACCTTTCACCATCTCATCCCCTTACTTTCTCTTTCTCTTAAGGGTGAAAACTTAATCGTGCTTCATTAAGGGAATCTTTGGATCTTTTTCTCATCTCTGGACTGTTGGCATCAATGAAAGAGCTTTATAATTTTTTATCCCATTCAAATAAAGATAATTCTCTATCAAAGGGGACTCTGGTGCCAGCTTGAGAAATTAGCTTTAACACAATGGGTTTTTGTTTTTATGTTTATTTCATGATCAGTTCATATATGGGCTACCTGCTGTATGAGGCAGTGCACCGTATTAACAGAACAACAGGAGTCATTTGCTTGCTGGGACTCTGGACACTTTCTTTGGGTAGCTGGTAGGTGATATAGAAAGACTGCTCATCTTGGTCCAAACTCCACAGGAGGTAGCATGTACTGCTTGGGTAGGAACGCTGGACAGCTGGGAATAATCAAGATTCATATCAATAGAACTAGAAGGAGGCTTTTTCTGTATATAATCAAGAATGGGAAGCGCCCAAAGGTGGATCTGAGATAACAATTCTTGCAGAGTAGCAAGGATTGAGCTGGGTAAATCAAGACTAGTTGAAAAAAATCCAAAAATGTAAAATGAAAAATATTTGTTAAATGAAAACCAAGAATGGCGTTTTAAAAATATATACATGTTTGCCTTGTGGATGGCTGAGGACAATGTGAGGTTTGGGAGCTGGCAGAGGTGATATAGGATGGAAGGCCATGGGAACACTGACACTTGTCTTTCTGGAGACATGTAAGACACCCACAGTGACTGACTGCATGGAAGTAGACACAGACTTAGGCTGGCGAGGAAATCATATCCAACTGTGCCGTGTGACTCACTTACTCACTCTCTGAGTTGTGGAGTGCTCATTTAACTGTCACACAGTGGGGAATGACAAACAAAATTTCTAGCCCTCTGCCAGTGCCTAGTGTCTCCATGGTTTTCTACATGGTGATGTTGAGAGTTTACTTGAAAGATCTGAGCGACTTGAGGGCTAATAAAGTTCCCCATATAAAATTATATTTTAGGAGATAGGTGAAAGTTAAAGGTATTTGGAGGGAGGGTATGGCATGTGCAAAGGCCCTGTGCCAGGAAGCAAAACAGAATATATGAAGACCAACATATTTGAAGCACAGTGATGAAAGAACAGTAATTACACCAAACACTGTCTGGAGATGATTCGAGTGTGGAAACTAGTGGGTGATATAATCTCATCTGAAGAACTTACGATGATGCTGACTCCTGGCACAGGAAAGGGCTAGGGATGAGTATGAAGTGAGTGCAGTAAACAATTAGGTTTTAGAGACAGTCCAGGGCACTAACAGTCATGACTTGGATTAGAGAATGACTGGAGAAATTTTGTGGAAGTAACATTGCTGGTGATAGATGATGTGAACGTTTTGTGAGGAGGAAGGAGAGTTCAAACTTACTCCTTCTTTGAGAATCACAGACAAGCCCCAGGTTTCTGACTTGGATGGTGGTCGATGTCTTTCACTGAGATGAGAAAAGGTGGGAATATGGTGGGTAAGGGGTGAGAAGCTCAGTTTGGGATAACGAAACTGCATGATGTTTTATTATACTTCTAACAAAACTCACACATCTTCCTGAGCTTTCTTTGTTCACATATATGCACCTAAATGAGGAAAGAATCTTTTTAAAGGGAAAAATCTTCAAAGGATTTTTAAATGTGAAACAACCAATCATTAAAAAGGGTTCAAGAGGGATTGACTTCTTGTCAGAGGCTGCAGTTGCTGCCACATGAACTCTAAGACAGGAGGCAAGAGATGGGCTAGGAACAATGGTGGGAGTGTGGAGATGGGAATTCTGAGGATGTTGGGTGAGAAGTGAGTTGGAATGCAGGTTTAAGAAGGGACATGGCTGGAAAAGGGAGGCTGAGGAGCACTTGGGTTCAGGTTTCATGACTGTGATTGCATTCTATTGACAGGAGAGAGTGTTGAAGACCCTTTCAGGACAATTATGATTTATGAAATCTAATCTGGCATTGGAACATGGAGACAGAAGATTCCTGTCTGAAAACTCACAGAGTGTGGTGACAGAGGAGGTCAGCAGAGTCAAAGCTGTTTTAGGACTGGTGTTGGGAAGGGGGCTTCCTCCTAGCAAATCCCATTCTCTTGACCTCTGCGCCAACCTGCTTTAATTTTCCATCGGCCTCATTTGTCTATTGCTGCATTCCCTGATAAAAGTCTAAGACGTCAAGGGTGTATGCATGGAGTGCTTTGGCACCGGATGGATAAACTGAAGATAAAGCCACCGAATAAAGTGACATTACTGCTTGAAGGTATGATTGATAGGAAGGTTTCTATTGTAGATACAATGGAGAGAACAATCAGAGGAATCTGGAAGAATCCAGAGCAGATAAAGAAAGCAGCTGACTGAACATGGCCAGAGGAAGACAAGGAAAGTTCAGGCAAAGGAGACTAAGAGAGAGGGCCAAAAGAGAGGACCAAGAGAGGGGGCAAACGGGAAGAGAACAGGAGAGAGCCAAGAGCAGGTTTCTATGGGAACGAGAACCTGGGAAAGGAAAGACCAAGAGCTGGTGTAGCATAGGGTTGGGTGGGGTAGGTCCTTGTGGTACTGGGGGACACTGAAGTCAGCATGTACTTTGGTAAGCTCATAGGCACCACAGGAAGGGAGCTGGCCTCACAAGTCTCCAGGAATGCTGGCTTTTGTGTGACCACCAGAGTTTAGTGAAACGGAGTTTCCTTTGGATCTGACAAAGAAGCTGCTGGCTGCTGCTGTAACTTTGGGAATTTCCAAAAATCTGACTTCCTGGGTTGACAATTCTTAGCCAAAATAGGACCAGAGATGGTGACATATCATGGAAGAGGAGTAGGGCTAAGGTTATCACATTTCTCCTTCCCCTTAAAGCCTGTGTTCTAGAAAATAATTATTAACATAGTACACAGAGAGTCAGTGGTTTGAAACTACTTCAGCATCTGAAAAAATAAAAAATACAAATTTTGTGGAAGTGGAGAGATGGCTTAGATATTAAGAGCACTCACTGCTCTTGAAGAGGACCCGAGATTTGTCCTGAGCACTGCCTGTAACTCCAGCTCCAGAGAGATTTGATGCTGCTGACTTTTGTGGGGACCCAAGGTCACATGCCCATATACACACGTGGACACACAGACAACTGAAGATAAAATACATCTTCGAAACAAATAAATAACAGCTTGGATTAAGAATGTAGGGTGGAGAGGGCAGCGAAGAGACTCAGTGGGTAAAGATACTTGCTGCCAAGCCTAATGACCTATGTTCAGTCCCTAAATCTACATGGCTGAAGGAGAGAATCCACAACTACAAATTGTTTTCTGACCTCCACATTCATGCTGTGGCACATGCACGCCCCCCCAATAAAATAAAATAAGATAAAATAAAAAATGCATTTGAATTTTTTAAAAATAAGAATATAGTGTTGGGAGGAATAGAAATTAAGATTTATCTCCATATTTACCATCACATTTCTCACACTCCAACCCCTGGAAGGTCAACATCACAATGAGTCTCTCAAATGTTTATTTATTTAGTTAGTTAGTTATTTTTATTGATATAGGACCTGGATATGCAGCCCTAGATCAATTGGAACTCACTATGTAGCAAAGGCTGGCTGGCCTTGAACTTGAGACCAGTCTCCATCAGCTCTCCACTGGATTACTGCATATACCCTCATACTAGGCTATCAGCTATTTTCTTCTGAACAGAGATTAGCATTGCAGCAGATTTGGACAACACAGCCCTTCCTTACAGAGGCTTAAAATGGCTGGTACTCCTTTGCGAATTAAGTGCGACTGTAGAGAATCCCTAACAGGTTTTGTCTTACTCTGTTCTTGATGTTGTAACACATCTCTTAGGCTGGGTAATTCCAAACAAAAGAAATGTATTTCTCAAAGGTTTGGAGTGTGAGGAGTCCAGGATCCAGACACTGGCAGACTTTAGTTCTGGTGACAGCTGTTCTCTGCTTCTAAAATGGTGTCTTGTGGCTTCATCCTCATTGGGAAGGTAAGGACAAAAAGGGTGCTGGCCCTACACATGATGGTGGAGCTCACATGGGCTAATGGCCTATAAATGCTCTATCTCTGTAGTCTTGAAAACTAAATGATTTTTGGAAGGACACTGATTATGACAGAATGTAAAAATCAGGATATTGTGGGAAAGAATCTGGACCAAATCTCAAATAATGTGAGTGTCCCATCCACAAGTCCACTGGTGCCATCAGGAAGAGCAAAGAAATCAAGTATTAAACGAAGGCCAGAGGCAGCAGACCACACAGGAAGGATGCTTTCCTCTCGATCAACGAGTCCTACAGAATCCTACCCTGTTATGTACGTAGAGGTTGAAGTGTGATTTTGTCAGGTCAATTTCACCTTCCTTTACATATTTATATAAGCAGGGTGCCACAAACACAAAAAGAAAAGAGGACAATGAAATGCAATTGGTGTGAGGTAGAGGCAAGGATTATGAATTAAGGCCAGCCTCTACTACATAGTAAGTTGAAGGCAGAGTAAACAAAGAAACAAACAATGTAAACAAAAAAAATAGAAAGAAAAAGAAAAGCAACTGGGTATGGCTTTTCTTTGCACCAGTTTTGGAGAAGGGAACACAAAGAATCCCTTTTCTGAAGTCTGTCCATCTCTCCATTGTCTCCTGGGAGTCAGGTCATAAGCACTGGAGCTCTCAGTAGGATCTATTAAGAAGCCCTTGGGTTGGGTGCCAACATGAAGGAATACTGATGTATAAATGTACAAATTATATATGGTGGATAAACGAGAGAGGGTATTGGTCCATGGGTGTTTTAAATGGTGTGAATTCAATTCAAGGAATAGCTCGAGGGGCTAAATGAGCTGAGGAGCCAACTCTGTGGTCAGTGTGGTAACAGAAATTATTAGCAGCTGGAAAATGCTAGAAACCCTGGGGCTATAGGCATAAAAAGAGGTGGCATTCTTGTATCACAGGGCATAGCCCCTCATCAAAGCTGGAATTCCATAGTCCCGGAGCCAGGGAGAAATCTTGGCCTCTGCCAGGGGAGCAGAGTGGGGAAAGGACCTGGCCTCTCTACTCCATGGTCTCTCTTGGCAGTGTCTCTAGGACAGGCCCAGCTAGAATACTGCTGTCAAGGGATTTGAAGAGCTGTAGCCTCCAGGGATCAGCCTGGTGAGTCAGGAAAGATCTGGGAACCAGGGGGAATGGAGGTGCAAACAATGAGGTCCAGGGCTGTCCCCAGAATACACGGCACTGTGATTGATCTGGTTTAGCCCACATAACTAACTGGAATTTCAACCAATTGTGACCACCTTCCATTTCCTCCTTCTCCCTTTTATGGTTGACTTTTTCTTCTACCTCTGCCCTCTTCAAGATTTCTTGGTTAACAAAGGAGAGAATCCAAGTGTTGAAGAACCCGGGCTTGCTTCTCAGCTTCAGAAGAGAGCTTCTTGACATATATTTAGAGAAGTGTTGGGAGATAACCCTCTCCAGATCCTGTGTTCACCCAATGGTCAAGGAGCACATCAACTGAGTTACCCTGACTCAGGTGATAATCCCAGGACAGGTCAGAAAGGAAGAAATGGTACTTGTGAAGGGTATCCCTCTTCTCAAAGCAGATGAGGGGCATATCTGTTTGCTGCAGGACAGACCTCAACTTTGGAAGGTCAGCTTGGTCAGAAAGGTAAGAGAGGTAGGGGCCAGTATTGGCCAACCTGGAGAGGAAATTCACGAATATGAACTTGGGGTGGGGAATTGTGGATGTCAATTTGATTGGATTAAGGGAACCAGTATAAAGCATTATTTCTAAGTATTTTGGGAACTAAGAAAGTCTGCCCTCAAGAATGTGGGTGGGCACCATCCAATCAGCTGCAAGCTGGGAGAAAACAAACTTTCTCCCTCTCTCCTGGAGCTGGGACATGCTTCCTTTGCTGACCTTGGACATCTGAGCTCTAGATTATCTGGACCTCAGATTCTAGGACTTACTTCAGCAGCCCAACAAACCTTCCGGCCTTGGTCTTGGGTTCAAAGTGATACCATTTCCTTCCCTGATTCTGGTGTTAGACTGAGGCAGGCTGACGATGTCTGGGATTTTGCGGTTTACTGGTGGCACATTCTTGGCCTTCTCAGCTTTTCTGATTGTATGAACTAATTTGCTTAGTAGCTCTTCTCTCGTCTGCCTATATGCATCCTATCAGTTCTGTCTCCCAGAATGGCATTCTCAGTACACTATCACACTGTCTCTGACCTCTGGGCTTATAAGTCAGTTCTCTACAGGTGTGACAGTCCAGACTGAGTAGGGTTTTGACACTGACTAAGAGGATAAAGGACCTTAATAAGACTTACTGGATGTGGCTAAAATGGAGAAGAGAGGTTAGAATCCAGGAGGTATTGAGCCGCCACCCAGCGAGCATGTTCTGCAAACAGAGCAGGCTTGTGAGCCAGGGAAGGCTGAGGGGAGAGAAGTAAAGGCAACTAAGTGATAAGGTTATGTAAAGAAAAATAGAAGGGAAAAACATTGCCTAATCCAAAAAGAACACGCTTGAATTTTGATTCCACCTAATCCACTCCCTGATCCCTAAGGAGAATTCCCTACCTTCTCATGCTATGTGATCGCAGGCAAGGCAAATCCCAGAGCCTGGGTCAGAACAACTCAGAAAATCCTCTGTATGGATTTGCTCTCTTACTTAGCTGAAGGGCCAGCTCAGAGCCCCCAGGGCTTTGTGCAGCTAAGTTGCTGACAGGCTCTTCAAGGAAATGCAGAAAGGTTCTCCTTCTGTTACAAATGGGCTCTATTTTCCAAGCCCAGGCTTCAGAGTAGCTGGAGGAGGGTAACAGCAGTTCAGGTTAAGACTGGGGTCTTGAGTGGTGAAGACCTTTAACCAGATGCTGCCCTGGAAAGGGACAGAGAGCCAGGAAGTGCCACCCCACTCTTGGCTAACCTCATAGAAAAGAAAGTGGCCATGGGAAAGGGAAAGGGCCCAAACTAAGCATGTTCTCCGGTGCAGCAGCTACATCAAGAGACACGTTCTACTCAACAGGAACAGAAGAACAATCTCACAAACCAATCACATTAGTGCTGGGATTTATTCAGAGAAGATGAACCTATTGGATCCAGACTCCACCCCGGATATCTGTTCCACTATGTTCATAGCAGCACTATTTGTAATAGCCAGAACCTGGAAGCAACCCAGATGCCCCTCAACTGGAGAGTGGAGGGAGAAAATGTGGTACATTTACACAATGGAATACTTTAGTATCCATCCTCTCCAATCTAGGTACCTTTGAGAGAACCAGAGCTTTACCACATAGGACTTCAGCCATTGCATGCTCGGCCCAGGCCACCCCATCTTTAGTGAGAGGCCAGGCAAGGTTTCATCTTACTTAGCTTGACATCGTCTTTTCCCACGGATGTGAGCAAGTGGGTTTGACACTCTAAGGACCTAGACATTTGTCAACTTGACCTGAGTTTGCCTTGGTATGATTTAGCCACACCTGCTTTGGAAAAAAGTGAGGAAGTCTACAATGAGAATTAGAGGGAGAGTTGTCTAGTATGATCTGTTGTTGACTCCCATGCCAGTGGCTCCTAGAGTTCTTCTTCCTCCATGCTTCTACCTCTTATTTCCACCAGAGCAGAAAAGAAACAAAAAAAATAGGCCATATTTATTTCACATACGAATCACATTTTAAGGAATAATTCTTAAGTGTATGATTGAAAGACTAATGATAGAACAGAAACACCAAATGGGAAAGGGAAGACGGTTATAAATGTGATTATGAGACAGGCTTCCAAAGGCCACTTTGTGCATTTTTCCTGCCCTTACCTGACCTGGGGTGAGGAAGGAAAGGAGGTGTGTGGGGAGGGACTATAATGCTGTAAATGACAACTTTTAAAACAGAGAATCTAATTTTCTGGAAGTCTTATTAGACTTTAAAGAAAGGATTTATGCTTGCATGAATTGTGCAGAAAGGAATTTTAATAACAGAGAGGCAGTGTGAGACAATGTCAACCAAGGCCATAACTCAGGGACGGAAGGCTTTCCAGGAGGGATTAGCATAGGCTGAAAACTGCTAGTCACAAGAAAGCTCCACTCTGCCCTGAAGCTCTCTGGTGAATACACACACAGGCATTTTCTCACACAGCTAATAAATAAGCCACGACTCGTCTCCCATTGATAGAAGTAGAGCTGGGAACTGCTATGGAGTCATACTGTGCTGGGATTCCAGTGTCGTTGCATAGAATGGAGATGCTCAGCTTCACCCTCAGCACTGGGAACCTTTGAGCTGGACCATTTATTGTTGGGACCAGGGAAAAGAGGTCTTCTAGGGCACTATGAGATGTTGAACAGGATCTCAAGCCTCTACCTGTAAGGCACC